TTAAATCAATTTGATTTCAAATGATGTAAATTTTGTTTGGGATTCTTTGTAATAGCATCACGTGCCACTCAATCCTTGTTTTAAATGTGTTAGTTCAAATAAAATTCCTGTAAAGTGGAGATAATTCCCATGAAACCGAAAACAATTTCTATTTTTTTTTATGAACAACCTTTTCTTGATAAATTGATCAAGAAGGTTTTCTCTACAACTTGGTCTGTTCAGCATAACTGCTGATTTAGTATATTGTATCTTTTGATTCCGTTCATCATCATTAATTATTATAAACTTATTTTTTGATATAATGATATACATACATCTCACACAATTCCTTTACAAAATGCAAGCTGTATGGCTCATTAATATTTACCACACCACTATGATCCACTATAAGCGCAAAAATGTGTGATGGATTAATTCAGCAAAAAATATTAAGAAGAATTGATATCTTTACGACAAATATACATCTTAACATAGCCTACTAGCCAAATCTGAAAACGCGTGCTTACATCGAGTTTGGTGTGTACCTCTTCAAAGAGAGCAATTTTTGTAGGAAAAATGTTGTGGTCGTCATAACCAAAAAGTAGAGCCTAGTGTCAATCTGTAGCTTGTTGACATTACCTCACAATTGTGTTTTTCACCTGTAGCTTGTTGATATTATCTCATAATTGTGTTCCTCATAACTGATTACGTTTAAAAACATATCATATGATTTCCGTACAAACAACTTATGTTTTCCTTAAGTGTACAAATATTTTTCATTGTATTCCTTTCAACATGTTCAAGGTTTTCTTTATTTATACTGTTTCCTCTAGAATTGTTGATTTTAAACTAAAATCCCGACTCCATTCAATTGTGTCATTTTCTGTACTTGATAAATATCGCCTCGAGTGTACTGAAAGAACATGTGTCGTCTACACCCAAATGAGTAGTAGGTTACTAAGAAAGACCTAATTTTCTTCGCCTTCTTGTGCCATTGCTACGAACCACGTGATTACCCTAAAGTAACTCAAAAGGATTCCGGGAGGACTGGGGAAAAAGGGAGGGGGTGGGTTTACTCGGATCTATTAATAGTAAGGGAGAGTAGTTCCTATACCAGGGGCCCAATCCTTATCATTTACCAGTATTTTAAATCTAAATGTTTTTGCCACGATTAGAAAATATTGGAGCTGAGTATTTATCATATTACTTTATCTTGGTGATAAGCTGCGATTGATTCGTTTAACAACATTAAAAATTAACATAATGTAAACCTTATCAGTCTCTTGTGGAGAGTTGTCTCATTGGCAATCATACCACATCTTCTTTTTAATACTTATCAGATATATTTTGAATAATTAGTCCTTGTTCGATCCAGAAAGTTGTAGTTTTCCGAGTGATTGCTTTAGAAAAAAATGTCGGAATAAGAGACCGTAAACCACTGGGTATATTTCCTAATGAAATATGAATTGGTTTGTTTTGAATATAGAAAGCAGATCATACTCAGTTCAATCAAAGAAATATAAAGTGAGTCAGTGTCTATATCTTGTGTATTAACTTAGTTGTACATATTTTTAAGCTGGGACCGGCTTCTTTCCACTTTCTAACATAAAAAAAAACTGGCCACCACATTATAGCCTATAGTGCTGAAAGTGACGTTAAACACAATCAATCAATCAATCAATCAATCTTTAAGGTTGGAGCGGACCATATATAAACCGCGCTATTTTCCTTAATGGGAACTTGTCACAGACATTTCGGGAACCGATAGTATGTCTATTATATACAAAAAATAGAAAAAAAAAACAAAGAATGATTTGAACTTAAGAAAGTGGACTAAAATATTTTCACTGCAAAATTAGAAAAAAAAAGTCAGTTACATTTTCATAGATCTTATAAAATTGTAATTTTCGAAATTAAATTTTATTTTTAAACATTATTACTGAAATGATGATATATATTTTTTTAATTTTGATATAACAAACTTTAATATCGTATATCTAAAAACTCAATAATGCTTGGTGGTTGAAAGTATTTGTGTTTTTACACAAAAAGTTCCCCCAAGTCATTCACTGAGAAGAATAGATGTTTATTACTTCTACAAATTAAACCGCATCATGTCGTTTATTACTTTTTGGTGTGTTATGTTGAAAAGTAATGAATTTCTAATAATCAATATGCTCTTGTATGAAACCCAATATTTTTATCCAATGTCGAATAACTAACCGCCTATTCATTTGTTCCTTACTGACCCGACTGACATTTTAAAGCTTACAGTGAGAAAAGTGGTGACAACATGTTATCACCCTTGCAAATGGAACTCTTCAATACGAATACGAAAACTTTATTTAGATTCGGTATAGTTATAAACTACAAAACACAGATCTAGAGAGCTTTTGACCGAATACATACAAAAATATTCAAAAACATAAAAACACAGCTCTAGAGAGCTTTTGACCGAATACATACAAAAATATTCAAAAAAATAAAAACACAATCATTCAAACAAACTTAAATTAGAGAAAGCATACATAAAAGTACGCACAACACAAACAGTACAAAGCAAGTTATACATGAAAGCATAAGCAATAAAAGAGCACAGTAATGTAATCTATGTATAGTGAAATAATACAATTTTTGTCATTTTCTCGGCAAGGATGCTATTTATTAGAATATGAAAATAAGCAGATTGTTTCATTGCCAATGAGACAACTATCCAAAATGGACCAAAGGACAAGGATGTAAGAAATTCAAATCACCTTAAAAAAATTGTGAAACAATTTAAAGAGAAAATTTACGTCCCGATTTAAGCTGGCAAAATTAAATGCAAATCAATTATGACAGACGACAACCAATGACATGGCCAACCACTTGACAACAGACACCTGGCTAGGGACAGACACATACATGTAAATACAAACAAAAATGTACGTGGCAGGGTTAAACATGTTTGAAGGCGATCAACCCTCCCCTCACTTGTGACATGTGGTGTACCCTTCCAGCATTAGAACAAATTTTTAGAAATAAACATTCTAAAATTAATCAAAGTAAACACGACGTACGGTGGCGTATAGTTGTTAACTTCTATGTCAGTTTGTCTGTGGTGGAGAGTTGTCTCATTTTCAATCATACCACATCTTCTTATCTTTATATACATGAAGTTGTTATTGTGAAAGTTAGTTAATGAATGATACAAACATTTTAAGAAAATAATCCTCTTATGAAGTGATTTAAGTGGAAATTGGTTCTATCACATAATTGAATTAATTGAATGACCCCACATTTATTCAATTGCCCATGTAGTTTCGATTTGATTTTTATTTGTATTCTTGGACAAACTAATTATGAATATGGACCAGAATAACATTTTAATGTTCCACAAGTTTTACATTCACTATCGACATATAAATCTTTATAGTCTGCAGTTTGTTAATATAACCTCGCAATTGTGTTCTTCAATCAATGCAAACATGTAACATGATCGACACAAGGCAAAGCTTTTTGCTCAAATCATACGGGCGTGTCTTGAAATTATCCAAGCACATGTATTTTTGGTCATGAATTGATGAACCATTTAAAATGCACTTTTAGATTTTAATTTGAATGGTAAAAAACATACCAAATTGAACAGATATTTAACGTTTATTGTGGATTCGTTATCTTGATGAAACAAAAAAACAAATTTTACAAAACTGGTTTTTATACTTGCATATTTTAAGTGTTGGTATTTTTAAAGTTTGTATGATTTAAAAAAAAAACTGATTACGTTTAAAAACATATCATATGATTTCCGTTCAAACAACACGTGTTTCCTTAAGTTTACAAATATTGTTCATTGTTTTCTTTCAAGATTTTCTTTATCTATACTGTTTCCTCTAGAATTGTTGATTTTAAACTAAAATCCCGACACCATTCAATTGTGTCAATTTCTGTTTGTACATGAGAAAATATCGCCTCGAGTGCACTGAAAGACCAGGTGTCGTCTACACCCAAATGAGTACTAGGTTACTCTATTGAATAGAAAGGCCTTCATATGCATATATTGCTGCGAACCACGTGATCCCCCAAAGTAAGTCTAAAGGATTCTAAAATGACTGGGGGAGGGGGTACCGTACTTATATCTATTAATGGTAGGGATTAGTAGTTATAATACCAGGTGCCCAACCCTTATTTTATGCTTATATTTATACTATTACTTTATCATGATTGACATAGTTCAATAGGTATGAAGCTCTGATAATTTGCGGTTCATTCGTTTAACAACATTACAACTTTACATTATGTAAACCCTATCAGATAAATTTTGAATAATTAAGTCCTTGTTCTAGCCCAAAAAACGAGTAGTTTTCCGAATGATTGATTTAGAATATTTTTGTCGGAATAAGAGACGACATTACTGGGTATATTTCCTGATGAAATATGAATCGGTTTGTTTTGAATATAGATAGCAGATCATACTCAGTTCAATCAAAGAAATATAAAGTGAGTCAGTGTCTGTATCTTATTAGTCCCCTACCGACGAAGTCGAGGGGACTTTAGGTTTGCACTCCGTTCGTCTGTCTGTGTGTCTGTTTGTCTGTCCATCCGTCAGTTCGGCAAATCAGTTTTCCACACTTTTTTTCTTCGTGCTTTAAGATATTGATTTGATATTTGGTATATCGTTTTATCATGACAAGTTACAGATCAAGTTCGAATTTTGTTCCGGTCTGATGATTTTGTGTGAGTTATGGTCCTTGGACTTAGAAAATTCACTCAAATAATCAGTTTTCCGCACTTTTTTCGTCATGCTTGAAGATATTGATTTGATAATTGATTATATAGTTTTGAATAAACAAAGAATAATTGAAACTCAAGAAAGTGGACCAAAAGATTTTCACTGCAAAATCAGAAAAAAAGTCTGTTACATTTTCACAGATCTTATGAAATTGTAATTTTCAAAATTAAGATCACGTTCTTTACTAATTCTATTTTTTTCTCTCAGCAGAACAAATTTATCAAAGTAATGTTTTTTTTTTAACTTTCAGAATCGACTATCGTGCTCATTACATACGTATGAACCAGGTAAGATTAGTAGTCAGATATTTTCACACATAATGAATACATTCTAGTGGTTCGTTTCGTATTATTTCCCTGTTAATGGATATGCCACCGTCATAAATCACAAATTATTTAAATTTACTGCGATAAAGAGAGAATATACCAATGGGATTTAAAAAGACATATATGTCACAGAAAACAAGACAATACCATAGCCAAAAAGAAAAAACGGCGAACAGACAACAAGGCTTCAAAACACTACTCAGGAAAGTAGAGACACGAAGACCAACCCAACCAAAAAAAAAAATGATTCCAGGTGCTCTTGAATGATAAGCAGGTTCTGCTCCACTAGTTTCACACGTCGTGTAGTATACATTTTTATCCTACAATCAGCCAATTATAATAATTGTACAAATAACAGTTACACAAATAGTTTTTTGCTTTATATTTACTGAGTCTGCTGTCACCCCGTTCCATGTTGAGCAAGCGGTAATATGAATATTTCTTTTTGCGTAACTGTTCATTTTGGGGTCCTCATCGCGGTCCGCGTTTAAAGGTGTCGATTTCTATGAAAAATAAGAGAACTTTTTGGACTTAAACAACTTAAACAACTAAAGCTTCAAGTGTTGGGTGTAAATTGCAGGAAAAAAACAATATAAGTACAATGTCGAAAATATAAAATGTATTTGTACTCGCTATGTATTTGTTTTCGCTATTCCTGTTTCTAAAGCTCGTACAAATGAATTTTTTTGTCCGACAATGTACATATAATGTATATGTACACCATAAGTCGCCTTCGGTGATGTCACAATCTAGTAAAACTTGAGAGGACGAGACCATGACTCCGACAATTGCAGTTTATCCGTGATGATCTGTGACACATTTATTCCATAACGGTCAACTAAATCATGATGGCGTCCGTGCAGTTGTGAAGTGCTGTTTTCTGTGGACGTAGGAGTGTAGAGTGATTCACGCACCCCGCTTGCATTATTTTAAAATCCTTCATCTCCCCCATATTTCCCTATAAGTAGATTTACATCTATACAAAAAGTCTTATTTCGTGTTGCTCATTGTTGAAGGCTTTCATTTCTGTATTCTTTAATTTTTAGGCCATTTTTCTCTATTCTTTATGGATTTTGCCCATTATTCTCTATTCTTTATATTTTAGCACATCATTATTCTCTATTAGTGATTTTTTGGTCCATTTTTCTCTATTCTTTATATTTTTGTCAATTATTCTCTATTCTGTAAACCCCCATTCACACCTTTATAAAGATACGCATGGTCTACAAAGAAATGGTGATGCCAAAAGTCACCGAACCAGACATCAAATCATTAAAATAATATTTATAAGATTTATTCTGTATTGCTATATTTGAAAGAAAATGATATGATTATTCAAAGGCTTAATTGAAGAGCTTTAAATGATATAAGCCCAAGTTTCATATTTTATAGATAGGCGCTGATTCGAAAATAGTTTTGGATTAATGAACCTTGTACAACTTTTAAATTAAAAATTATAAAGAAAGGTTCAAAATGATGACGTAGTTTGAAGCTATGTTTATAATGACATCCAAAAATACAATACGCATAGTATTGGTTCATGTGAAATGTTGTTTCTTGTTTGTGTTTTTTGACAATTTACGGTTTAAACACGTATCTATTTTCATGCACCAGCCGTAGCGGAGGGGGCATTAAGTTTTACCCTTGTCCGTCTGTACGCACGTCCGTCCGTACGTCCCAAAATTGGTTTTCGTTCTCTAACTTAAGTTTTCCTCAACCAAATGTTATGAAAACTTATACCCAATGCTTATTACCACAAAACACAGATCAAATTTGAATTTTGGTGGCGTCATATTTACCGTTTTAGAGTTATGCCCCTTTACAAATGGAAAAATTGCTGAATTTTTCGTTTCCGTTCTCTTACTTTAGTTTGCCTCAACCAAATATTCTGAAACTTATACACAATGCTTATTACCACAAAACACAGATCAAGTTTGAATTTTGGTGGCGTCACTTTTACCGTTCTAGAGTTATGCCCCTTTACAATTGGACAAATTGCTGAATTTTTCGTTTCCGTTCTCTTACTTTTATTTGCCTCAACTAAATGTTATGAAACTTATAAACAATGCTTAATACCACAAAACTCAGATCAAGTACAAATTTGGTTATTGTCACTTTTACAGTTCTTGAGTAATGTCCCTATATAATGTTATATGCAAGCGGGGGCATCATCTGTGTCCCCTGGACACATTCCACATTTATTTATATATACTTGGTTATGAATTATGTTTTTTTGGTTATGAATTATTCATATTTTATATACTTGGTTATGAATTATTCATATTTTATATACTTGGTTATGAATTATTCATATTTTATATACTTGGTTATGAATTATTCATATTTTGTAGAGTGTGATCCACAGTACATGTCTGCAGAATATCCATTATTATTTGGAGGTGCAAATTCAGAAGCACCAGCTGATTTTCCTTTGAACTTTAGGTCAAAGGTTATTTCCAAAGATGGGACAGTCGGTATCATGCTCATTTGGCAGCAGTATTTTAGAAGTAGGTATCACTGCATCATTTTAGAGGACATAGTAATATCTATTTAAAAAAGAAGTATTTTCAATTATTCAATGTTTTATTTTGTCTAAAAAGTGAACACTGTTGATGTATTGACTTTTTTCTCTCGCCCCTTGATTCTCTTTGTATTTAACTTCGTGGCATCTCTCGTCCCTTGATTCTCTTTGTATTTAACTTCGTGGCATCTCTCGCCCTTTGATTCTGTTGGTATCTAAAATTTAGTTAATATAAGAAACTAAGGTTCCAACTCTCTGAAGACGATTTTGGCTATTCTTTTCAGGTCGCCTTTGCTGATATTCAGGTATTTAAACATCCTTGGGTTTGAAATTCTTGATTTTGAGCGTTCCTGATGAAGATAAATCCAAATAATATCGTTTATATAAAGTGTTATTTAAAGAAAAATGATAGTGGGTATATTTATTGTGAGTTGCTTAATTGTTTTTATTTGTTCTTCGCAATTCTTAAACGAAATAAACTTTTGATAAAAGTGCGTTTAACTTTATCAGCTATTACAACTTTGATTTTAGTCGTAAATATTTAGATATACAATAATTGTATATACAAAAAAATGATGCAAACCGCTCTTTTTTGTTTATTTTAATGGTGATATTTTATGTCGTTTTGGAGATAAAGTATATATACGATTAAGTACTTGTAATCTGATTGGGAATAGCTGAAATGGTCTGCGCAATTGCAGAGGAAGTTTTCGTTTATCGAAATATTCTTTTGAAATGCCTGTGACCTATAGTTGCTTAAATTCACTTCATTTGGACTCTTTTGGATAGTTTTCTCAGGCCAAAAAAAAATAATACATGTGTTTCCGCTAACCCTACCTATCCTAATTTTTAGTGCCTACCCTGACACTTTTTATGCCATTTTGGAACAATCACTGTTAAAGTCAGAATGATTTCCTAGAAGTAACCAGCTGAAAAATGTTTGTAAAATAAATTGATATTCCTACCTACCTACCTTTTTTTTCAGCACGTTAGCGGAAATACATGTATTATTTTTTTTTTTGGCCTGACATTGGCAATCATACCAAATCTTCTTATTTAATATCGATTTAAGCATTGCGAAAGATTATGAATAACTGCAATAAATTAAGATACTTGCCGATGTAAATCTTATATTTCACAGACGCAAATATCCGTTGTTCAGCTATACGCTTACGCGTTTTGATTTTGCATGGTTCCGGAAAATATTCCGTGCAGCCAGTGCTTCTGTACAATATAAAAATAAGGAGATGTGGTATAATGGCAATGAGACAATTATCCACCGGAGTCCAAGAGACGTGGATGCAAGCGACCACAGGTCAACGCACGGTCCCCACAGTGAGCAAAACACATTCGTTAAACGAGATCCTAAACGAGAATACCAACGGCCTGAGCCACGACAAAACAGCAAACATGACAGACAGTGTGTTTTGAATGAGACATACCAATTGTAAATTGTTAGTAAAACTAAACTCTAATAATAGACCAGCTTTAGGCAAAGTTGATCTTAAACTTATTCTGTTAGGGTCAATTTTCGAGATTGATACTTTTCATTTTTTTTTCAATGTACCTTAAAAGTAAAATAACAAAAATACCGAACTCCGAGGAAAATTCAAAACAGAAAGTCCCTAATCAAATGGCAAAATCAAAAGCTCAAACACATCTATCTCAAAACTATCTATAGATTAACTAATGGGTTATTCTTTTTTGCACTTTAAACCAGTATCATTACAAATTGTACATTGTACATACACCCAAGACTTCTCTAATTTGTTTATTGGTCAGTGCGTCTTTTATGTTCTGCTATGTTATAAGTCTTGTCTAATCCAAAAGCAAAGAAAAACAACAGCCAATGATAAAATCCTTACTATTATATTGGTGACAAAGCTGATTTGCATATGTTAAATTTTGTCTTTTACTTAGATACAGGAATGCTTAAAGTATCTACGCAATGTCCGTCTGGGATTGTGTGTCACTTGTCCTTTGATAAGGAAAGTGATTGACAGGTGGAAGGAGAGTTCCACACCGCCTAACTGGAAAAAAGACACCTCCAAAAACATTTCTCGCGAGTAAGCTGATTTAGGACCGTTGCTTATCCGGCCCTTCCAAGCTCTCAGTACATTTTCTCATGGCATTTAAAACCGGTCCCTGTTTTGTGTCACTTCAAAGTTATCCTCTTTTCTTATTCATTTTCATCACCTCGATACAGCCTTTTTTTGCTATTCGAGCGGAAAACACTAAGAATCAATGCTTGTGAAGATCAAGGGCAAAGTATTCCCAGCGGGAAATAATGTTCCATTGACTGTCGATGTAGTTTCATACATATTAAAATGTGTCGTTATAACTAGTTGTCTCTTCAAATCTCATCGCGTATCTTGCCATAAAGACGTATTAGAACTAAATGCTGATCAATAAACTTAACAACATAAACAGCAGTGCATCATTAGTGGAAACTGTTTATTGACTAACAAGACAACGCCTTTAGCAAAACGAACTTCACCACAATTTTAATGACTTTCTCAAGTACAAATAAATGAGTACTGTCAGACTGCGATTTTTGTTACTTCATTATTGTATTTTAGTGTTTGCTTTGATTGCTGTCTCGCGCAATTATTCATGGTACTCCTTGAAAAGGAATTGAAACAACTTGTTCTTTAGGCAGTAGGGACAAGACGAATATAACAGCATGTTCTCTTGTTTGCATTTTGTTATTTCACTAAACCCCGATTAAAGGGAGGGTCAAGATTTGAAAGAAAAAAAGATAAAGTTTTACTCAGCCACATTTCATTGTGCCTGACAGGAAACTTATTTTTGTAATATTGGTTGTAGTATGTATAAATTATGACTGATCTTTGGTTGTCTATATTTAAAGGGGCACTAGCTGTCAAATTCATGTTCACCGATTTGACTCAAGTTATCATATTTGATTTATAACAATGTAAAACATTTATCCAAATTATAAAAAGTCTAAAATAAACAATATTCCGGGCATGGGCTCGATAATATGTAGCTTCGTTTCGTGTGTATTTTAGTCTAGACGCCATCTAATTAACTGTCGAGTTGAAACCGAAGACTTCCGATTGCCATATAAGCGATATAATTAAAACATAAATAAAGATATAAATAGATAGCAGAATCGTGCATTTGGATTTTTCTAGGTCTGTTCAATTTCATATTATAGATTAAAAATATATGTTAATCATCGTTTTTTACTGTATAAGAATGATTTTTTTGTAGATCGAATCAATCAATCAAGTGATTTACCTTTGTTTCATTTTCAATGTTGACATTCTTTTCCTTTAAATAACTGAACACGCACAATGCATGCGGTATCCATCTCTAGCCAAGGGGTTAAATTGATGTTCACATGAATACGGATTCAATGAGGTCGAATTATTCACTTGCAAGTGAATAATGCATCCTCAATGTTTCTTAGCTTATTTTGACAAAATTGAACCATACTGGCTGCTAAAAGTGATATATTATTTCACTTTCGTTAATGATTGAACAAAAAAAATCGTATTTTATATTTTTTATATATCTCGTAGCTAGTGCCCCTTTAATTCTATTCACAACAATTCTAGGATCTGAGCGATTTAGAGGTTATGTGTGCTTTTTGAGTTTTGAGTGTAGTTTGGTTGCTTTCTAATTCAATTTGACGTATACTACATACCTGAAATTCATACGCTAGTTTGAATAGTATGCGGACATTTATGCAACCGTATAGAATACTTGAGGAAAGTAATAAGACCACAAAATTAATTTGAGATTAGCAATACAAGATAAACAATTTAGGTGTTTTGAAAATATACAAGTTTTGAAATAGAAATGATATTCAGACTTTTACCACTCTTACATTTTGAACGTTTTTTGTTTGCTCATTGTTGTTTTTTTGATGGTCGTTTATGTATCTTTTTATTATAATCACAAAGCAACCGATGTGTTAATAAATCCGTGTTCCTTCATAACCTTTTAACCTGGATATTCCCATGTCTAAACAGCTAATTTAGTGCGTTAACTCTGAGGTACTACTATCAGTCGTTACAGCAGGATCAGATTGTTAATCCGTTTTTAATTTAATCCGTAATTATTTTTTGTCATGGCCATGATTCATTAAAGAAAATATAATAATAGAAAGTTAAAACATGTAACCTTTGCACGAAATAAGTTTGCAACCTCGAGTGAACTTAACCAGGTGGTTTTCGCTTTGTTTAATTTCCCATTTCGTTATGTAGCTCCCAAAGCTTATAAATCGTTGCATTTACCATTCCTTTGCTCTTACCATTCATAATGAATGTAAATTAGCAAAATCGGCCTGTATAAATTTATTCGTCCTGTATGAACGTACAATGCCAACAAAATGAACCAAACTTTGCAAGATCTTGCTTTAGGATATACTGAAATATTAAAAGGTGAACTGATTAAACATACCATCTACAAGCCCTTATATACCATTCATAGTGTTACAACCCTAGATTATGCCGACGAGTAAAGGCACAACAGACAAACGAAAGCTTTATTTTATATTTCACGCGGTTCTCAAATGGGTTTAGGACGCTGAACACAATGTTGCTGCCGGTGACGTTTCTATAACCGGAGTTCGAATATCGCTGAAAAAGAACAAACAAAATATTGAAAAAATAATAAAATTCTACGAGCCCTTTCAAGTTATGTTTGTTTGAATAGGATTTATGATTTAGGTAATTCACTGCGGAAATGGCACTTGTATTGTCAATATGAAAATTTTAAGAAACTTGTCGAAATTTATGAATTTGATCTAATCATAGCTTATGGGTAACATTTTAAAAGTTCTCACCGAAAGCTATATTGTACCCACTTTATAGATAAGATCTTTGATCAAATATATTTGTGTGAAGGGTTACGACTCATAATAAAATATTTGATTACAAGATTTCAAAGTAGGACTATGTCTACAGATTGGTAGATTTATCATTTAATGCAAGAAGCTTGAAGCCCTAATGATAATAA